GATTTTAAATTACATTCAAAGGGGCGTTTGTGTAACGTTTTGTGTCTTACTTTTATTTATTAAATATCATGTTCTCACTTAAACCATAAAATTCAGTCCAACAGCAAATGAGCATATCTTTAGAATTTCCGATACACAGTTCCGCGTGCTGGAGATAAAAAGGCTTTTTTTCCCCCTGTAGAGTGTTGCCATTGCTCACTTTTAAATCATTGAGTTTGTTAATCAAAAATTCTTTAAAATTTTACAAAATATGAAATAGATAATAATAAACAAATTCCATATTTGGGCTTCCAGATGCCCATATTCGGGTGGAAATGTATATTATTTAAAATTGGATGGCTCTAGGTACCGTTGTTTTATCATAACAACATACATACATTCATGCAGAAACATACATGCATTCATGCAGATTCTTCACTATTTAATTTCTTTAAATATAATACATGGTGATAATATTTGGTGGCAACAATTTGAAAAATGAATTGGACATTTATAGTGAACTAATGCAAAATGCCAAAACAGAAATAATAATCCTTCAGGGCAAATTGCCCCTTTGAACTAAAACTTATGTATTTGTTTTGTTATTCTCTCTCTCTCCCTCTCTCTCTATATATATATGTGATAAAAAAGGGAAAAAGATGTAGCAGTGTTTTAGGTGTAGAATGTAGATCCATATTGAAGAGGAAGAATACGGATTGCATAGAATACTGAATTGCCGATCCACAATGTATAAGAAATTTGGCAGTCGTGGCAGTAATAATTCCACTTTTATTTAAATTCACATTTAGAACAGTTCACTTGGCACTCTAATCGTGCCTATTTTCAGAACATTTACAATTTTGAATACAATTGCAGCAGCAACAGAGCACAGCGAAATAGTGTTCAAGCAGCAACAGAGTTACAAGCAAAGTAAACATTAATCCAATATGGCAGCTCACCAAAGAGGAAGGTTTTTGTGTACAAAGGTTTCAGTTTTCAGAGTTTAGATTTAGAAATAACTGCGTCATCAGCGTTATGCTTTCTTTGTGGCATAGATTAATCCTGAAATGATGTAGTCCAGAAATGTTATAATTATTTTTGGAATAAAGAAGAAATAACCAAATTAAAAAGGAGCAATTAAAAGGCTTTTACAAATAAAATTATAAAGCTGATTTACACATTTTTTATCTTGCATATGGCCCCCCTTCAAAGAGAAAAAAGCCTTTTGAGAAGAAAGCATGAGTGAAACAAAAGAAAGTTTTTAAAATATTTAGTTTATTAGTAATGTGCAGGCATCAAGGGCATACATAGCCTGTAAGTTTCACTAGGACCCCATCATTACTCATGATTCTCTCATATGTAAATTAGAAAATACTTAAAAGTGTAATTTAATAATATTACAATAAAATATAATTTCTAAATAAAAGTAAATGAGAGTGAATTGACAGAAACATAATTTTGAAGTTTCTTAAGCTTTGTTTCTAAAATAGTTGAAAAATGTTCAATAAAAAGTTTTTCAGGGTTTTTAACGAAATGATTCCACAGAGTTCTTGACTGTTATGAAAATTTGAAATTATAATGCACACAATTTGTGAGTAAATTAACTAAATTCTCTTTATTGCAAATGCAATGCATTAATATAATAGAATAACTTTGATAATTAGTTGGCAGGACTTCTCCGATCAAAATCAGCTCACCTGTATAGATAAAAATATGCAAATCAAATTTATAACTTAAGCGTCTTAATTGCTCATTTTTAATTTTGGTACTTCCTTGCCTATAAGTTAACCCCTTGACTTACAAATAAAATATGTGTTCGAAGAATGTCATTTAATTTGGACACTCATGTGCAAGCTTAGAAACATAACTTTTAATTTTCAAATTTACATTACTATATAACAATAATAGTATATTGTGCATCGTTCACCGAAGACTGTTCTTGATGTCCAAGACGTCAACGTCTATAAAAGCACATGAAATCAGTGACATCATTGTACATCAAGGGTTAATATGTAAGATAAAAATATTCAAATCAAAATTATAACTTAAAAGGCCTCTTAATTGCTCATTTTTAATTTGGGTACTTCCTCTCTAGAAATAACTTTCTCAACTGCATCATATCTGAAAACTAATTCTGCATTATGTCATCTTAAACTTGTGCATTGCCTATAAGTTTTAGACAATCAGATTTACGAAAAATTTTATTATAAATACCATTGCAATCCAACAACCCTCATTTCCCCCTATGCTTGCTAGCTGAAAGACATCTCTTGCTTAGCTGCTTCTATTAAAAATGCAACGTGTCATCATCAAAGGCATGCATATTGGCCCCATTGTGATTGCCATGCCATAGGGTGATGAACATGTAATAAAGAGATATTTGGATTATCAAGTGATTTTTGTGATTCTTCAAAAGTTTTTCACTACATAATTGGCATTTTCAATGACGATCTAACCTTAATCCACTTGTGACTGCAAAATAATTTCTTCCCTAGTTAAGCACTCATCTTTCACCAAAGAAAGGAATGCAAGGAATTCTAGAGAGAAAGAGAAACTAACAGATATATTAAAATTTTAGAAGATTATTTTTTGAAACATACTAAAAGTATTTAAAATGTCATACTGTTCTGGTGAAAAATTATTGTTCATAATGGTTTAATTAGAAACACTTACAAATGAAAATTACAAAATTAAAGTACAATAAACAAGTTACAGTGTAGCCAATTAAAGAACTTCAGATTAGACTCATCTGGGGAGGGGGACATGCAAAGTCCTTCCATTAGTTAACATCCAAAATTCTGTAAAAAACATTTTTGTTCTTCCCAGTAATCAAAAGTCACTCTTTTTCTATTATAATAAGTGTGCTTTCAAAAATCAAGAATAACACCTGTATACCTTTTAGGAAACCTTATATTTGCAAATTCTTAACTGAAAAATAATTGAAACTATTTTCAAAACAAAAGCTAGAGATAAAAAACCATACACATAGTTAGAAAAATTCAAAAGAACCTGCTATAGTTTAAAACACCAAATGAAAATCATTAAAAACCAAAAAAACTACAAAATTATGAAAATCATAAAAATAATTACATTCTAGATGTATAATTAATAAATCATTTTTCAATCACATCTGTGACTAAAATGCAAGTTAAATTAATATTGATGTTTAAAATTTTACATACCATTTTGTTCCTTGATGGAAAATGTGGGACTCTTTGATGTTCACTAATGAAAATAAAAGTACACTGCTGGCCACCGTAAATGCAACACCCTGAAGGAAGCATGCGAATAACATGAAATTTACAACATGCATTAGTGGAGGTGAGATATGCAAATGATTAGAATTTCAGCACAGACACACATCACACGTGTCTGTGGTGCCACTTCAAAGCGCTATTTAAGGCTTGGAGTTTTCGACGATTTCAAGTTCGGCAATTGTGTTTTTTGTGTGGTTTTTTTCAAAAAAAGATCAGCTATACCTCATAGTAAACAGCCATCATCGTTTGATCAAGTATTCGAGTTCGACAGAGGAAGGATAGTGGCCTACCGAGAGTGTGGATTATCTTTCAGGGAAATCGGTAGTCGTGTTGGACGAAACCAAACAACTGTAATGCGGATATGTGACCGTTGGATGCAGGAGGGTACGACGGACCAACGTGTTCGATCGCATCCACCTCAGTGCACCACTTCACATGATGACAGGAACATTGTGCGCATGGCAGTGACGGATCGCTCAGTCACATCACGAACCATAGCACAGCACATTCAGTCTGTAACATCATGCAGTGTCTGCATGCAGTCCATTCGACGTCGTTTACAGCAGAGTTGTCTGTCCGCAAGATGTCCATTGCTTCGTCTACCCTTGACGCAGAACCACAGACGTCTCCGCCGCCCATGGTGCGATGAAAGAAGGATGTGGACGGTAGAATGGAATGAAATTGTCTTTACTGACGAGTCACGTTTCTGTCTGCAACACCATGATGCTCGGATTAGAGTCTGGAGACACCGTGGAGAGAGGATTCTGAACAGCTGCATTCTGCACTGCCACACTGGCCCTGCACCTGGTATTTTGGTATGGGGTGGCATTGGATATCACTCTCGCACTTCTGTAGTACACATTGCCGGTACTTTAAACAGCCATTGCTACATCTCCGAGGTGTTGGAGCCAGTTGTCCTTCCTTACCTTCAGGACTTGCCCACAGTCATATTTCAACAGGATAATACGTGACCACACCTGGCATGCATTGTCCAAGGGTTCTTTGTCAATCGCCAGATTGAATTGCTTCCCTGGCCAACTTGCTCTCCGGATCTTTCACCGATAGAAAATATGTGGTCCATGGTTGCTGAACGATTGACCCAGATTCCATCTCAAGCTGCCACACCAGATCAACTCTGGCAACGTGTGGAAGCTGCTTGGTCTGCTGCCCCCAGAAACACATCCAAAGTCTCTTTGAATCAATGCCGAGGCGTGTGGTAGTGGTGATCTCCAGTAATGGCGGCTACTCTGGATACTGATTCTGGAAGGAACTACACTTCACAGAAGTCTATAAATTTAATCATTTGATACTTGGTCAGCATGTTATTTACTAAATAAATTTTGTTGTGATATCTGTTTTCTTTCTTGGTGTTGCAAATTGGGTGGCAGTGTATTTAAATGACCACCCCTAATGAATCTAATCTGAGGTTGTTAAATTGTCTACATCATAATTTGTTTATTTTAATTTTCATTTTGATGTGTTTTCTTTTAAACCATTATCAACGGTATTTTTGGCCATAGGCTGTTTGAAGTTATTTCTATTTTTTCACAAGTGTTAAGTATTTTTTAATATGTTTTTACTAAATAGTCATGGGAAGTTTTAATTTATTTGTTTAATTACTTTAATTAACAAACTCACCTGCAATAGCACTTGATTTAAGTTTTCAACATTTTTAACACTATATATATAGACAGATTTAGATATATTTGTCTAGTAAATTTAGAAATGTAGCTGATTAATTTTTGTAATCTTGTTTGCTTTTAGGTTTTCCTGTTGACTGGTGGGCCTTAGGAGTTTGTTTGTTTGAATTTTTAACTGGTATTCCACCTTTCAATGATGTTACAGCTGAGGCTGTGTTTAATAACATCTTAAAGAGAGGTAATTATTTTTAACATTTATCATAAGTTTCCAAAGAGTTTGTATTTCATTTTGTCATTGTAATTTTTAGGTGAACTTTTTTGTAAATAAATTTTTACTTTCACTGTATATGTTTTCATACATCACTTTGAAACGAATATGAAAATGATACAGGGTTTTATTATGTAAATCAAACAGTCTGCTTTATATCTGTTGCACTGTGAAAATTTTTGTTTGAAATTACTAAACTCCTGACTTTTAGAAGGCTATATATATATGTGTGTAGATATACTTATACATAAATATAGATAAATTAATAGTTTAAACTACAGGAACTGAATAATAAATAGAGAAAATATAAACATTTTGGTTGTACTTCTATCCTGCTTAATCTTCAGCCATTTTGTTTAATATCTGAAGAAATCTACATTTATGTGCTTGCTTGTTTAAATTTTTAATAAGATGTACTATTTATGCATTTGATGAAACAATATACAGTCAAAAGTCGTTAATTCGGAATGATCTATAATCTGGACCTCAAAGCTTCAAACTTTCTGCGCATGTGTCAACGCATAAGCGTTCACACATGCACCTAATATTTTTACGCATATGCGTGTGTGCATGTGCATAATACATTTACGCATGCACGTTTAATGTATAACGGACGGTATAAGCTAAGCTAAAATTATCTAATTATCTATTTCAGTTAATGTTGCAGATTGTGTTGTTCCTTAATCTTCGAATTGGATCCGGCTTATTATTTTTTTTTTCAGACTGTTAGAGCAATTTTATAAAAGTAAGCTTGAACTTTCGATTATGTCAAATAGAATTTCCAATGCTGGAGCTGCCAAAGGATCTACAAAGCGAAAGTATGTTTCGATGTCCATCAAACAAAAAGTGGAGTTGCTGTAAAAAATGGAAAGGCATATCCTTTGTTTCTCTAACCATTCCGAAATCTGTTTATCAATTTCACGTTGCTCTGCAGGAGGGGGGGGGACGTCGCAGCGCGCAATGAATTGGAAGTTGATCTGTCAGCACTATCCTTATCTTCAGGGCAGATGTTTTTATTTTATTTGGCATATAATTCCTTACTAAATGTAGTATTTCATCTTGATGTACTCCGTCTTTGATATGATTTAAATCAAATTCCTCATCATTATAATTCGCTTCCGATAGTGAAGAAGTGACACAGAGGTTATTGAAAATGAAAAAATTTCGATTGACAAGTTAGTCGGTATTCTCGACACAGCAATTATAGGACTTGAGTATTATCACATAAAACGGAGCAACTTAAACAACTTACAAGAAATGTTTAATAAAGTAAACAAATAATAAATATTAAGCTTTTTTTTTTTTTTTTTTTTTTTTTTTTTTTTTTTTTTTTTTTTTTAATTTTGATACTCTTTAGATCATAATTGTTCTTTATTTCATAAATTACGGTTTCATATTTTTAATTTTATAATTTCTGCATGCTATCTTACCAGATTTAAACTGATGATCTATAATCCAGAAAAATCAATAATCCGGAATCGCCGAAGTCCCGACGAGCCCGGATTAAAGACTTTTGACTGTAGTAAAGCTTTATGTGGTTATTATCCTGGATTTATTTACATTAATTAACATTTTGCAGATATACCCTGGCCTCAAGAAGATGAAGCTTTATCAGATTCTGCAAAATGTGCTATTGATATGTTACTGACTTTTGAAGCTGAAGCTAGACCAGGTGCGAAAGGTACATGTTCAGCCATCTCCTCATAATTTAAAAGCATAATATATCACTGCAGGAAACTGATAAGGAAAAGAAGGGAAAAGGCTATATACAGAATACTCAGTTTCAGTAATTAATATTTCATAACATATGCCTTGATAATCATGATTTTATATAATTTATGTTGAGAATTATATATAAATTTGTAGAATTTCTATTGAGGTCCCTGCATTTTTGAGAAAAAGTAATGAATAAAAGCTGCAGTTACATGATCCTGAGAATTTATAATTTTCATTTCCTTCCTTTTTTCTGTTTTTACATAACAGAAACTTTAAGTTTAATTATAGTATAAAAAGTATACCTTTAGTATTTGTTTCAGTAAATTGTTTTTATTTTTCTTAACTTACATGCTTATGTAGTGGTTGGCATAAATTTTCTGTTACATTCTTATTTTCATCTCTTTCTTCTTCGAAGACCAATATCTTTGCTCTTCATTTCTTCAAATATTTCTGTGCCAATCAGTTATCCATAATCAGAAACTTATATTTTGACACAATTAAACAAATTTTGTTAATTAAAAATTAACAAAATACCTATATTATGACACAATTAAATTCTGAAATATATTTCAGAATTTAAACGGGACATGTGAGTTATGTCAGAAGAATGAATCAGAATTCCAGAATACTGCATTGCTGGATATTCTGGAATTAGCTGAATTAAATTTTCTGGAATGATTTCAAATCACTTTCTGGACTGTTTTTATGTCTAAAGTATGCTTTACAAAAGCAGTTCATAATCACCTTCTTTCTAATTAAGCTTTGTTTATCATTAATGTTGCATCAAGGAGATTAATTTTTATTTGCATATTTTACTCCAAATTAGTGTTATTCAAGATTTTAAAAACTATTTGCTGAAGATAAAAATGTTTGAGATTCTGAATTGGTCCACTGCTTGCTCTATGAAAATCAAACTGAAAGAAAATATGCTGTTTTCATTCACTTCATCTCAATAATATTGTGATTAATAGTTAATTTATAGATGTTCATCAAATTTTCCTATGCATTATGTTTTTTATAGTATTTTAGTTTTTTTTTTATCTAGTATAAAAACAACCTCTCTCTTTCTCTCTCTCTCTCTCTCTTTTTTTTTTTTTTTTTTTTTGACATAGTTTCACAGTTTAATAATTATCCAAGGGTATTGTATCTATAATGTGTGAGTAAATTTTTTTGTGGATAAAAACAATTGGGTTGTGCAATTTTTTCTATAATTAACACTCATAGATATTCAGGGCTGCCTGCCCTTATTTACTGACATTAAAGTCATAACTTTTTCTTTGCTATTTCTACTACTACTGCATCATTCACTTTTAAAAGCGAAAGTTTTAAGTACACTGTGCAAAAAAAAAGGGGGTGGGGCATTTCTGTGTTACCTGTTCTACCAGGCCGATTGAGGAAATTCAACTTATATTTAATGACAAAATTCAACTTCGTATATGTATTAGATTTATATATAGTATTGTTCTAATATAGGTATTTTCGCACAAAATCTGACTTTTTCTGAAATAACATATCAATTTTCCCCATTTTGATTCTATAACTCAAATTATGCCAAACTGCCAAGTTTTGAAAAAATCAGATGAGTAGTTTTTAAAAAATTAGCTCTCAAAATTTTAGCTCCTCCATGTTAATTGAATCTTGTACATATTTATTAATATCTCTTTTTGTATTAAATTTATTTGATTCTTCCTTTCACGTTTCAAAATTTAGGTTCATTCAAAATAAATTTCCCTCATTAAAAAAAATTTTTTTTTAATTGATATTTTAAAATAATTTTTATAAATTTTTCGAAACAATCAAATTTTTTATCATCATCGTAAAGCAGGTGTATTTCTAAGTATATCTGTAAAAATAAAGAAATTAGGTTGCTGTAAATTAAGAAGTTCGCCAAGTGAATTATTCTTGGAAAAAAAAAAAAAAAAAAGCAAAGATGAATTTTTAAATTTCTATATAAATAGGACACCTTTAGACACCTATAGAAGGGAGGTATGCAGCAAAAAGTCAGTTCATGAATTTAATTTGTTCCTGAAAGCCATTTGTCAATTGAAATACTTTTCCCCAAAGGAATTGATGTAAAAAGGATTAATTCATTCCTGGACCACAGATGAATGTTTATTTAAACTTTCCAGGAGTACTTTGCTCTTATGTTCATAATACTGAAATCGATGGAAATCATTAAATATATATATACTGTAGACTTCCTCTTAACTGGCCTAAATGAGAAGGAGGTTTAGCCAATAAAACGAAATTCCAGTTAAAGTGGACAAGGAAAAAAATTTGTTTTACTTGTCTGTACTGCATGTTATTTGCCTTTTACAAATATATGTTCCTTGTAGCATTATATAATAGGATTTTTACATATTGACCTCTTTATCTCAAGTTGTATTGTGATATTTTCAACGTGCTCAAAATCTTCATCCTAAAAAAAGTCATATTTGATTCATTTTTATATTTCTACAGTTACTTTCCAAATCACTTAGCCCAGTTAGATGAAAGTTTTTCTGATAAATTTTTCCTGTTAAATACAAACTTTCTTCAAATTTGCATGATTCTTTGGAATTTATAGACATCCGTTATGACATAAGCAAACAATTTAAAAAATTTCTGTCTGTTTTTCTGCATTCAACTTTATTTTTAATATCATATCATGCTTATTTTTTATGCCCTGTGATTTTTATTATTGTTGTTTGAAATGGCCAGCACCCATCTCATTACTGAGAACATAGCTCACAACAGGCAATCGATTTTACACTTACAAGAACGGGAAAGTTCTGTCCCAATTTTGATAAGAGCAACCCCAAAGGTGTGCAGATACAAAGGTCTTTCACCCTTGTTCTCTTATCACCAAACCTCTTGAGGATTTTCAGTTCACCAGTATTTTAAGTGCTGCACTTGCAAATTTCAGACCTTGTCTGGGATTTGAATCCAGGTCCAACAATATGGTCTGTAGTGCTAACTGCTGTGCTGATCAAGAGCAGGACTGCTACAATAGAAAATTTATGCTTCGGCATTTTACTGATGCATTGTGCAGTGGTTACCATATACTCACAAGGAATTCAGTGTATTCATGCTGGTTTACTTTATAGTTGTTGAAATATTTTGTAGGAAAGCTTGAGCTATTTAATATTTCTTGTGATATATTTTTATGGAAATGTTATAAGAACTGGTTTCATAGTATGGAAATTAAAGATGGACAAAATCACTCTTTTTGGGGATCAGATCAGAATGGTTCATTTATTAAAATTAATCTGTTCTTTATTATGGCTCACTACTCACGAATATTGTGGAGCAATTGAAAACAAAAGCGATTAAGTTGTACCCTTTGGTGTTACTTTTCTCCCCCTCCCCCTAGTAACCGGAATTGAACTCTATTAAAAAATAAATTAAATAAAATGAATGAATAAATAAATAAAATAAAAATAAAGGAAAAACTTCTCTTCCTATATATATATATTTATAATAAATAATTAAGCTTACTATTAAATTTAGTATTATGTTAAAACTATTATATTAAAGGACTGAATTATTATAGTATTGAGTTGTTTTTATAAATAGAATTCTTAATTAACTGCAGTTTATAATATAGTAACAAATTTGTTATTCTGCTTGGCTAGTAATTAGACTATCAAAACTGAAATTTACTTTATATTCTTTGAGTACTATTATTATAAAGTAAGTTTTTAGAGGTGTGAAATGCATAAAATATATATATATATATATCAATATTTATTTATTAAATATATGTATCATATATTTTAGAATAATAATGAGACTATTTGAATTTTTGATATCAGAAGTAAAATGAATGTATGTGAAAGCAGAATAATATCTGCATCACTGTTAGATGAAAACATAACGTTGAATTAATTTTCAGAATTTTGACCTTTTTCCCCATTTGAAGAAAACAGAGAATCAGACAAATATTATAATTTTGCATATAAAAGATGAAGACTTAATTGATAATTAAATTTTTCAGATTTGAAAACATGGCCTCTTTTTGAAAATATTGAATGGGAAAATATTTTGCAAATGAAAGCACCGTTCATTCCTCTTCCTGATAGTCAAACAGATACTACGTATTTTGAAGGTATAGTTTCTGTTCTATCTCATTCATTCATAGAATGTTGAAAGTTTGGTACTGAAAAATTTATTTTTATGAGCATAAATAAAAATCTTTTTCATATTTTTAGTAAATATAAAAATTAATTATTACTGTAGCATTGAAAATGCCAAAAATTTCCAAAAGAACTTGTTGTTTATAATGAATAATAGATATCAGGTTAATAATGTGGTGCTTATTCAGGAATGTTTAATAAATGTGTAATACTTAATTTCACTAGTTCACTTAATTTTATTTTATTTAAGTGAATGAATATTATTCATAATGCTGCGCTTTTATGCCAGATATTTTGTGTTTTATGATGTATATAAGATGTCAGTGTACGCAATAAAAATAATTTAATTTTCTTATAAAAAGTAAATCAATTTTTTCTTAGTTCATCTTTCAAACAAAGGCTTTGAAAGAACAGAAAAAAACTGAAAAGTTCGTTTACATTTTGTGTGCTATAAAATCCTACATATTCTTTTAATTTTAATAAGAATTAAAAAATATGGTACAGCCAAAAGTCGTTAATTCCGACACCATAATCCGGACCTCAAAGCTACAAACTTTCTGCGCATGTGTCGCGTTAACGCATGCGCGTAAGACTTTTACGGCTGCGAATATGCATGTGCGCATGCGCGTAATACGGTTAGGCTTGCGCGTTTAATGTTTAACGGACGGTATAGCTAAGCTAAAATTATCTAATTCAGTTAATGTTGCAGATTGCGTTGTTCCTGAATCTGCAAATTGGATCCGGCTTATTATTTTTTGCAGACTGTTAGAGCAATTTTATAAAAGTAAGCTTGAACTTTCGATTATGTCAAATAGAATTTCCGATATATATTTACTAATATGTAAAGGATCTACAAAGCGAAAGTATGTTTAGAAGTCCATAAACAAAAAGTGGAATTGCTGCAAAAAATGGATAAAGGCATATCCTTCATTTCTCAAATCTTTCCGAAATCTTTTTATCAATTTCACGCTGCTCTGTGGCCCGGGGGGGAAAACGCCGGAACGCCGCGGCGCGCAATGAATCGGAAGTTAATCTGTCAGCACTATCCTTATCTTCAGGACAGATGTTTTTATTTTATTTGGCTTATAATTCCTTACTAAATGTAGTATTTCATCTCGATGTACTCTGTCTTTGATATGATTTAAATCAAATTACTCGTCATTATAATTCACTTTCGATAAAGAAGAAAGTGATACAGAGGTTATTGAAAACGAAAAAATTTCGATTGACAAATTAGTCGGTATTCTTGACACTGCAATTATAGGACTTAAACAGCGGAACTTTGTAACTGAACAAGAAATTATGTCTGTTTATAGAATTAAAGAGAAAGTATTATCACATAAAACGAAACAACTTACATTGAAAGAAATGTTTAATAAAGTAAATAAATAAATATTAAGCTTTTTTTTTTGTAAATTTTGATACCCTTTAGATCATAATTGTTCTTTATTTCATAAATTACGGTTTCATATTTTTAATTTTATAATTTCTGCATGCCATCTTACCAGATTTAAACTGATGATCTATAATCCGGAAATTGCCGAAGTCCCGACGAGTCCGGATTAATGACTTTTAACTGTATAAATTATTCAGTTTGTTATTTTTCTAAAAAAATTAACTTATTGATTTCTAAAAGACAGTCCTTATGTGATTGGATAAGTGTTTTATAATAAAAATAATTTTAATACAAGTCCACATCTGAAATGGTGGGCATTAATTTTATATTGACTAACATATGATAAACTAAGTTTACAATTAAAATTATGGAACAAAAGATTACCTGGTTTGTTCTCATTAGGATATGCCAAATGATAAAAATTGTGCAGTTAAGAATTAAATTTTGTAACCATTGTTAACAAAACTAGGATTTCCAGAAACAACCTAAAACTTGAATTCATGTAAGAAAAGTAAAACTGCTGTAGAAATAAAATTTTTTTACTTTACCTGCAGAAGCAATACACACATGTTGAATCATTTTTGATACATTTTAACCCCCCTCCCCTAAAAAACTCCATCAAGTTAGATGAGAATTTAATGCAGTATCTTTGTTGCCCTCTTTTTTTTTTTTTTTAATAACTGTGTATTTCCATATGAAATTTAAAAAAAAATATGGTGTCTCAAATGTGTTGATGTATTAAAATTTGAAACTGCTTGCTTGATAAAATAAGATAGTAATAGTAAAAAATTAATATTGCTGCATAGATTAGATGAAAAGAGCTCAATATAAATAATTATGTTACCTAATATTATACAAGTGTAGTTTGGAAATTACTTTGTAAAGAATTCTTTATTATGCTATTACACACTAATTTTTTTAATGCATGGGATGTGCGTGTACTACAAGTAATTATAATATTTAGGTGTATTATTGTCATGAGTACCAAACACAATTTTAATAAAATTTTATGAATATTCATTTTATTTAATTTTTCCACATTTCTTGTTGATTTATTCTCACACTGCAGTGACTAAAGATGCAAATAACTTTTCATCTTTCAGCAAGGAATGAAGTGCAGCATATAAAGGTCTCAAGTTTTGAGCTGTGATATGAAAATCATTTGGATTATATGTATATTGTAGCAGTATCAGATATGTAAAATTTTAAATATTTCTAAAAAACTATATAATATATATATATATATATGTAAATATCACTTTTAATATGTGACTGAGAAATAAGAGGAAATTCTTTCGTATTATGAAGAAATCCTAAATTATATGTAAAATTTGGATTATCATATTTTTTTGATTTTCCTCTTTTAGAGAAATTGAATAATATTATAGGCTGTATTTTATGCTACATTTAATTACAGCAAATAAAATATTGCCATACAAAGTTGCATTGTTTTGTCTCAGAAAGTGTAAATGTTGTGTCAGAGCTACTAATTTTAGAGCTAAATTACATAATTTTTTCATATTTCATTCTCAACACCATATATGCAGTTAAACTCTGCTGTAGTAAACAAACTTTTTAGTACCATCCAGTTTCCTTACTTTTTAGTACCATCCAATTTCCTTACTTTTTAGTACCATCCAGTTTTCTTACTTTCTAGTACCATCCAGTTTCCTTACTTTTAATGCTATTTTATATGGCTACAATGAACCTTTTGATACATGAAAATTGGATACATTGAACTTTACAGATACCTTCAACTGAAGCATTTTTGTACTTTTTATAGTTTTTTCCAGTTTCTAACTGAAAAATTTTTAGTCTTTAAAATCATCTAATTTAAGATGAAATATATATACTTTCGATGTAGAAAGTCTCTTTATGGAAGCATGAATGTCATCATTTTGGCTGAAATGTCATATGCAACATGGAAAATCTTTTCACTAAGTTGCCTCCAAAACCTGTTTTTGGTGAAGGTACACTGCACGTGCACAAAAAGGGGGGGTAGTTCTATATCTCCCATTCTACTGGGCCTATTGGCGAAATTCAAGTTGCATTTTTCATGTATCGAAAGCGTGACTTACAATATATATTAGATTTATATCTAGGATTGTTTTAATATAGATATTTTGACACAAAATCGGATGTTTTTCTGAGATTGACATGACAATTTTTCCCATATTTCAGCCTAAATATTAAATTTTCCAACATTTTGTGCGAAGTTTGTGGAGAAATTCAAAGATTTACTTGGGGAACTTCTTAATTTATAGCAACGTATTTTTCTTACCTTTTTTTCATTGAACACGAGAGTAAAAAAGTCATCATTCATACTTTCAATAAATTTAACAAAGTGCATAAATCACATTTGGCTTTATTATTGCTTGTAACAAATATGCCAAATTTCAGAACGTGTCAATATGTAAATTCATGTATATCTCAGAAAATGTTGAATACAAAACTCTAATTTTTTGCAGGTGTGCCTAGAAATAATTAAGATGATGTTAAAAATTTTATAGGTTATAATGCAGAACATTTTTGAAAAATTTATTAAAAATACAAACTTTAAAAATAAATCATAAAAAATGTAAGAATTATATTTGGATTAAGGCTAAATTTCAATTTTGGAAGAAGGAGTCAAGTACATTTTGTTAATGTTGTTTATTTTAAGCTCATGCCAAATCCGGTGCTATTTGATGTCCATATGATTTGAAACTGAGTAAGTGTATGTACACGTACAAATTGGTCATACTGTGTTGTGCCACCAATAAATGTAGTCTTGTGCTAAATATGTGTCTCAGCTGCCTAGTTCTTCCCTGGTTCTACGTAACATTTTATGGATTCAGAATTGGGATATCAGGGTATTATACGAGGATATGGCCGAAGATTTTGTGGTAAAAATCTGTTGTGAAGGAAAGCATTGAAGAGGGAAAATTGCAATGTGAAGGCGGCAGATTGTTTGAGGTAAGCTGGTTAGTTTTCTTTCAATTTGTGGATGTTGAAATGATTTATTGGGTGTTGTAGAAATGTTTGGATGGTTAGGGTGATGTTAGGATTTGAAGTAGTTTGAAGAGTAGGTCTGTATTTGTAATAATTGAAGCTAGAATATTGTTGTATGTGTTATGTATTTAAGTTATTTGTTTAATGTATATGCTTGTTGTATATTAAATTAGAAGCGTTATTTTGATTAGAGCAGCACTGTAGGTAATAAAATAAGTAAAGGTGGAAGTGTTAGACAGGTCCAAAAAATAAGCATAAGTCAGTTAGAACTGCTATTACAAAACTGTTAACCTGCATTGAAGACATGTTTAAAAATCTAAGTAGTGTTGCTTTAGATATACTGAATGAAAAATTGTAGTTAATTATTGAAAAAGAAAGTGCGCTAAATGATTTAAGCTTAGGTATTGAGGGTTTGTTGCTTGTTGCTGAAATTGAAAATGATGTAATTACTTCCATAGATTATTCAGAAAAACTTTCAATTTGGAAGTATAGGGTCAGAAATCAGATCGTGAGTTTGAAGAGTCCTGAAATGTCTGACGCCACTTATAAATGGAAGCAGAACGATAAAATTTCCTAAACTTCATATTAAGCAATTTTATGGGGATCTGTCATTGTGGTTAGAATTTTTTGGTCAGTTTTAGTTGGCTCTCGATAAAAATTCTACTCTTTCTAAAACAGATACGTTTAATTATATCAAATCATATGTAAGTGGTGAAGCTGCAAGTTCGGTTGCTGGGCTAGTGATTATGGAAAGAAATTAAAAGGTAGTGCTTAATATACTCACAAATAGGTTTGGAAATTCAAACTCGTATGAATAATTTATTGAAAATTCCTGCTGCTCATAATTTGCAAGACATAGTTAGTTTAAAAAAATTAGGTACAAAAACTAATACAGTTGGTAATTTGTTAATGCCGATAATTTTCGATAAAATGACAAAATATCTGGTCTTGGAGTTTAATAGAAAATGGCCGAGTGATTTCACTTTCCAGGATGTACTTATGTTTTTAGAAGGTGAAATTCAGTCTAGGGAAAGAACATATTTATTTTGAATAAAACCTGATTCACCTAAAATTAAAATAGAGGCTTATAATAATGAAGCTGGAAATAACTTTAGAAGATTTAATTATAATAAAAGATACATTGATCATGTGAAATCCAGGGTTCGTAGTGGTCCTTACAAGTGCTCATAAGTCCTTATATTTGAAAATAAAGTATAAAAGCCCTTATAGGTGCTTACTTTTTCTCTAAAGCATTTATTTATTTATTTTTTTGTGCTTATTTTTTGCTTTTAGTGTCTTGTTTTAAAAACGTACGCACATTTTCCCCGTACCAAAGCCGAGCTAAATAAACAACTTTTCTTCCTTATATGGAACGTCAGATGGTGAATCATAGCTTTAAAAAAAATAGCTTTTCACCTCTTTCTCTGCATTAACATAACCTTTTGTGCTCGCAAGTACAGACAGGTGCACGTCGTTCTATTGATCAAAGAATTGCAAAAGCGGTAGAAAATTTCTGTACATTCTGTATTCTCTTTTGCTTCCACCCAATACTACACACGTTTGAATTTCTACCAAGATTTTAATAATTTACATTCTCGTTCTGCGTGGTCAGTTCATATTCGCATTCATTATGATCCGTATGCTTATATTATGAGTATATGTTTGAATATTTATAATAATATATTTGCAGTAACTGAAGTATAGATAAACTTCAAAAATGGGCAAGTGTGTTTTAACTTAGATTAGTTTTCTAAGGAATAATATTCGGAATTGCAAAATAGTCAAAAAAAAATTTGTTTTTTATTTTTTGCCAATGCATTATACAGTATGGAAGTTGGAGGTTCTCCCCTTTCTCTGCAAAATCTCGAATGCTGAAACTGTTACAGTTCGCAGTAAAGCAAGCAATGGACTTTTTTATTTTTTATCACTCTCCAAACTGGATTGAATAGAACTAAAAGTTCTGCGGTCTACCAACCCAAGCGAAGAATGATTCTATTCTGGAAATTTAACGCAGTTCAAAATTAGAATGAAAAACACCCCAGATTGGTAAATCTCTTTATTAATCAATATGAGTATGGCAAAGATATCGCACGGAGCGCGACGTGTCTTGCTCAATGATAAATATGCCACATGGACGCATGATGGTGAAAACCAGACGAAGCAAAGGGGCTTTTTCTTTATTTAGTTATTTATTCTCCGAATACCGGCAGCTGTTGATTCCGATTGCTTAATATCATGTGTGGAAGAATTAAGGCACACGTATTGAGCAGTAATGTTTGCGATATTTCACTGAGATAAAAGAGTTCTACTGTGCTTGCTAAGTAGATTATTTTTCAGTTCCATTGGGCTATTTTTTATATGATGCACATATCGAAATGTCAAAAGCATTATTTAGCTGAAAAATCTAAAGAACAGCTACAATCTACCCCTTTCCTTCAAGCAATTTCCTGTCTTCTGATTTCAGAAAAGTTCCTTTTTTGTTAACTTATTTTTACTTTAATTACTTTGCTTGCGCTATCTGTTAAGGGAAAACTGTTATACAATGAAAATTTAAAAAATGTTCAGAATTTCGATTTAAATTAGTTAAATATTAATGAGTGCAAAAATAAATTGTATGTATTTATTTTTAGGTGCCAAGCAAATATAATAAAAAGACTTATTATTATTTATTTTCTCTATTTTGAACTGAATTTTCATTATTAAATCTTGAATGTAGTTTAGTTCTGTATAGTTTTCCTCCTCTCATTCTAAACTAGTTCTGTAAATTGAACTGTTATTTAATACTTAAAAAAAAAAAAAAAAAAAAAAAAAAAAAAAAAAATTCCCATGGTTGAGTAATGCTCATTCTCTCTTAATAAATACTGAATTTCTCATATTTTAAATAACAAGTCTAATTTTTCTTTTAAGGTTATGCAGTTGTGTATAATGTAATTAGACAGGTACTTATTTTTTTTTTTTTTCTTAAAATGTGCTTGAAAAGTGCTTATAGGTGCTTATTTTTTTAACTAAAATGTAGCTATGAACCCTGGAGGCCAACTGGAAGGTATGCCACCAGTATTAAAAGGAATTATGTACAGTGGTGGCCAAAATTGTGGACGCTTTTGGAAATTTTTATGTTTTTGAACTTTGTATGCTTATAGAAAATGGTATGTTTCGCAAAATGCAAACTTGTATATATCATTTTAAAGAGAATTTATTACTGAATTCAATACAAAACACAAAATTCAATTATTTGCAATACAAAAAAAGTTATATGTACTTTAATATAAATAAAAAACACAGTTATGAAGTGGTTTGTAATGTCTAGCTTTCCTGGGCAATCACTGTTCTTGTTCTGAGAACCAATCAAATGTTAGTAACTGCCAGTAGAAGCTGATATCATGTTTACACTTGAAACAATTCATTATTTTGCTTTGTTCTGTAGAAGGAGGCCCTGTTTCTTATACACT